TATTGTAAATAATTACATAGCAAAAAAAAAAAAGCAAAAGAAATATCGAGTCCCATTGTTTACTGACTTCGTCATAATGTTAAAAAGGTTCAAAAGCAATGCAAGAAAAAAAAATTGAAATGAGGGGAGATAATCTTATAATGGTGGCATTTTAAAGATTAGGTTTAAAGAAGTAAGTACCTGACTTTTTCTGCTATCCTCTACATTTATAAAAGCCAGATTAAGTTAAGAATGAAGTACTACTGCCATAGTCTCAATACGAGTCTAAAAGTGTCCTTGTGGGTGATGAATTATTTTCTATCCGATGACCCCTTTCCCACTGACGAGATGTCACAAGCCTCTTGCTATTTCCATGGAAAGTGTTCAGATGAACTACATTCTTTCGTTCCACTGGTTCTAACTTTCATGCCCCCACACATTGTAGTGAATTACCCTCATTTCCTTTCTATCCCATTGGAGAGATGAATGTTTCAGTTGAGCAGCTGCTTTGTGGAACAGACTTCTGATAGGATGCTTCCTTGATCACTACAATCTTGACCTGTTCAAATCTTGGGTTGATTGGTATCCTCCCCAGATATCTGCATAATCTGCAACCCTCTATCTCTAGTGGCTCTTGGGCCTTGTACAGAGTAAACATTATTATAAAGAAAAAAATGTAAATTATGGTTTCACAATTTTCATGATGATTATTTCTTTTTATATTTTTTTTCATGTAAAATCTTTCTTTATTCAGACTTGCTTTTTTTTCTTTTTCTTTTTTATTAGAAAAAAATTTATTTTTGTCAAAAATGATATTCAACTAAAATATATATTATGCCTTTAAATTCCTTGGGGAATATAGGGCTGCAAGATACCATTTCAGTTTCTGTAACGAGCCAGTTTTTAAGTGAATAGGTTGTTAGTCTACTGCACCACCCCCAACCTGGAGGATCAGGTTTTGAATTCTGAGTTGTCCTTCTCCTAGACCAGTTGCCACCCAAGGCTATAGAACCCAGCCTGTCTTGCTTTTTACCCATAGCTAGGGGGAGAAGAAGCAGATTCATACTTTTCCCAAGGGGTATTAGCACATAAGTGAATGTAATGGATTCAACTGGAATTCGAACTAGGCTCTCAGATTCCTCCATCTGAGCCGCTATACTCCACTGTGTCTCCTCCAACTAAAATATACTAAGCTGAAATGAAAATGTTACAGAAACTTGTTTACAAACTCAAAAAGTGGCTTTATTCCACCCCTTACAAAAATGGTTTATTTGCAAAGATTACAAATTTATATACAAACACAGTTGATACCTAGAATAATTAAGCATTTGGTAGCTTGAGTTACATTTGCTTGTCTTCAGCTGATATGTCACCATGACCTGCTGAAACAAACATGAAATGGAAACCCTTAAAGAGATTAAATTCTTTATATTTTGGTGGTCAGTGTCTATGCTGGTATGTTAACCTGCTGCCACTCTTAGGGGATTATCTACCTTTACTTAAGTCTCTGCTTTTGAACCCAAACTTTTTTTCTCTCCATCATGGTTAAGTTTAAAGTCAGTCAGTGATGGCAATTATTATTTTTTTTTTTTTGTGCATAATTACTTTAATTAGGAAGTTTTTTCTTTTTTTTTTTTTTCCTTTTTCAACTTCGTATTTCTCCCCAACCTCAAAAAAAAAAAAAAAAAAAAAAAAAATTTAACATATTGACAACAGTCCAAGGGAAAGTGTTAACAATTTTTCCAACGATTGAGCTTTTATTTCTTGGTCAACAGACATTGTTTAATTATCCTGTGCCACCTGCTAATTAAAAAACAAGGGTTGATAGGTTTGCCTATTCTCCTCCTTGGTCTTTTGAACAGGAGTAGAGGTTTATCCCTTGTTTTCTGTTTAGGATTGGGTTTCCAGTTCCTTCTAAAGTCTTTCATTTTCAGTAATGTCTTGAATCTTAGTGGCATTATTGCTTTTCTTGGGGTTTGCATGAAAGCTTGTAACATTCTTCAGAGGAGGGAAAATTCATTTGGACCCAGAAATGATACTGGAGCAGATTAAAATATAAAATAATATAAAAATAAAAACTCAGATAAATTCAAATTTTACTTGTGACATAATTCTGATATAAATAGAATTTAGAGTACCAAATTGACTTTTTTGAAAAACAATTTATTTTTGTCATTTTTTATAACATTGTCTGCCTAGTAATCTAATTGTGTTAGTCATTTCAAATCTCTAATTCTTGTTAGATTACTGATCAAGCAAAATCTCTTACGCCATTTTGTTTAATGTCTTCCATATCTTTTCCCATTAACCTTTGTGCAGTTTTCCTATCAATATCGTACACTGCTTACATTATTCATTATATATTTGTTGACAAGGTACTTTTAGATGAAATACTTTCCATTCCGTTCTATGTCATTATCTGTCCAAAGTATCTATTTTCCTAGACTTTTATTCTTTGGATGTTTAATTTCAGACAATTCACTTGAGCCTTATTTTATTCAGTTTGAAATTTACATGAAACTTTTTCTTGTAATTCATTCAATGATTCGGATATTAGGAAAAGGTTGCTATTGAATGTTGTTGCTCCAAATAGTTTAGCCAAAATTCATGTCCACTTATGTTGGTCTTTTTCAACCCTTTGTGTAGTCAAATTATTGCAAGAGAGAGGGGGGAATATATATATATATATAAAAAAAAGGAATACATTGGAAATGTTCATAGATTTAACAGGTTTCGGTTTCGATTTATTTTTATAAAACTCATTTCCCACAAAATTCTGAGCTTAAATATATTTGATCCTAGTCTATATATATATATATATATATATATATATAAAAAAATAAAAAGGAGAGAAACTGCAAACATTTTTGGTTATAATGTAGATTATTTTTTTAAATATATATTATACTTTATTTTCCATATTTTTGTACTTCACCCATTCTTGGCCTGAAGAAGTTCGTATTTCTTCATATTATTAAAAGGAATTAATTTTTCTTGTTTTTCAATGTCTAACCATTGTCTTTTTTTGTGTAGTAGTAAGCAAAATGTTTTTCTTGGACTGGGGGGAAAAAGTGCTTTCTCTTCTTAAGGGGTAACAAAAGTATATATATATATATATATACACACACTACTAAACAAAATTAAAGTGTGTATATATATATATATATATATATATATATACACACTTTAATTTTGTTTAGTAGTATATAAATATTTTATGGCTTCAACTATACAGATATTTTGTACATGTTTACCTTGAAAGTATAAAATTGTTTCATAGATAAACTATTTGTAAGGCATTGTGGTTTGGTATAAAGCCTACTTCTTTAAGGTCGGACATTCTGTTGACTTTCAATATTTTCAAAGTTTTCTCATGTCGATTTCCTTATACAATTTGTCTTACAGGTGCAAAGTGTTAAAAATTCAGTTAAAATATGTTTCAATGTGACTGTGGCCAGGCATGCTGGTTGATTTTCATCCTTTAGCAAATATGAATGGGTGAGGCATGTGTCACCTGTGTGCATCCAAACGAACATTACGTCATCTTTTCTAGACACCTACCTCCATTCACTCAGGAACGGTTTGATTGTGAGAAGCTTATTGTGTTATCGGTCCAGCTCTTCTGCCATTTCTGATGAATGAAACTTCATTTTAGTTTTCGTGTCTGTATAAGGGATACTGAATCTATTATCAAGGGTTTCATTTTGGATAGATTTTGAATCGGTTTGGTTATTTTCTCTATGGAATGGAATCCAGCATAGCACTAATTCTTTACTGTTTGATAACGAATTCAGCCTGCATAGCAATTTCACCAAACGTGGGTTGTCAAGTATTTGATAACAAGTCATTTGTTTGCGAGTCGTAATGAGAAAGAGTTGCTGGAGCTGTCAGTATCTTTTATTAGTAATTCATTTTTCAGAAGAAAATAAAAATACTTTTGAAATGCTTTTCATTTTGTGGTAGACAAACCATTTTTTTTTTTTCCTGATATCATCTTTACATTGCTTGTTAATTTTTTTTTTTTCTCCATTCTTTTCGCTGCCTCATTTGTCAATGTGTTATTTCTATTATTTGAGAAAACTCTGTTCATTTTCCACATATGATGGTTACGTCTTTAATCCTATTGCTTTTTGTTCACCATTAACGGCTTGAATCATTTTACTTTACAGAACAAAAATAAGTTTTGTGTCAACTTCTGAAATATTGGTTTTCTCTATAAATCCTTAAGTCTTTTCACTCATTTGTATTCGTAGATGGAAGTTGGGATTAAATTTCAGATGTAGACAGCCTTGTTTAAAATGTCGGACATGTCATCTACAAAAATTACATCTATTTGAATGCTGCCGGGAGGGGGGGATTTAACGATACAAATGTAAATCTAATTGTGAGAGAATTTTCCAAAGTGAAGTTAGCAGGCCATTCAGGTTAGAAAATGGACATTGCAGTATGAATTAAAGTGGTATTCTCTGAACTCTAGCATTCCGAGACAGTGATGCATTTTTGTTGCACAGATGACATATTCTTGGAAAATCCTTCAACCTCTTATATTATTTAATCACTGAATCTATTTAGCAAAATCTATATGGACAGGGCACATGCATTATGTTAAGATAGAGAGCAATAATGATATATAATAATTTGTTTTAAATGACTAATGAAAAATTAGTTCCTGAGCTGTTTGTTTCATTTTCACCAAAATGGCAATTAGTCTGTATTTGCTGACACGTCAATAGAGATGAAGGAAGAGACGCAAAAACGAGTTGAGTCAGTGTTTTACTTAAGACAGCATTTATTGCAATTGACAGTCAAGAATTCCTTTGGCGGGGGTGGGGTACTAACGAGTGGTTGTCATAAGGCTTTTTCTTTGGCCTCTTCAATCCGCTGGTAGCACAACTTGAGTCTTTTAATTGTTCGTTGGGGGCCAAGGAGGTAAATCATTTCTCCAACACCAGGTCCATCCTGGATAGCAAAAAAAAAAAAAAGTTTTATTTAGACAATATCAACAGGTTTGTATGTCTTAGTCATGGAAGGAATT